GTCTTAACAGCTCTAGGTAGGACAGCATACACCTTTGGCAGGTATCTTAATTTCCACAAAATACACAAAGAAGAAAGGGCATCTGACAGATTATACTTTTTGGTATAAAATTATATACCAATAATAATTATTATACACCAATACTTACAGCAGACTTTTTTTTTTTTAATGATGTAATGATGTCAGTGAAGCTGACCCAATTTTCAGCTGACGCTGGAGTTGAAGAAGCTCTCTGGTTTGCCAGTATATTGCAGAAATCATCCCATTAATGAAATGTCTTCATAACACATTACTTTTTCATTAATCATGAGTTTTTACTGTTACTGATGATGACAACATCTAAGGTGTAATTTACCAGAGCGGAATTTTTGGGCAGCCTCAAGTTACTTTCTGAATACCGACTACAGATAATTTTGCATATGCAGCCAAATAACAGTTTTATCCAACTCTTCCTTCATATCAGTTGGAGTCTCTCCTGAATCATTAGTTCAAGTCAGTTAACGGTAATTACGAGTAACAGTCACATTCGCATTCACAGACTGGTTGTGTGTATAAAAGAAAAACAGAATTCACAGTTGGAAAGTTGACATGGAGGTGTAAAACAACATAGACAAATTCTGCTTTGATTTTCCAGAAAGAAAAGTTATTCTTAAGTTTCCCTCCCATGTGGTTATTTGCTATTTGTTGAGCGCTCCCCATCTGTTCAGTGCTGTGGAAAGCTCTTTGCTACTCCACTGGTCTCTGGCATAGCTCTCTTTTGAGTTTAACACTATTTTTCTCATTTTTACAGATAATCTGACTCTATCTACAGCATTTGGGTTTTGTGCAGTTGGACAGGAAAATGCATGTGAAAGCAGATTCTGAAACCATCATCCCAGGACAACATATATTTGAATATTCTGAGACAGGTTCCACAACCCAATCTCTGCTTGTATAACATGAAGTGATTTTCCATAATGCTCATGAATCACACTAAATTGTCACACAATGGCCTTTTCTTCTGAAAAGGTACCTATCAGCTCAACTCTTGCTGTGGTCAGTCACCATTTCCATCGTGAAGTTCTGCTTTCTTGTACTTTCGGCTTTCTTGTTGGCAATAAAATACTGTGCCAAGATTAAACTTGGCATACAAGTTCTGTCCAGAAGTAACCTCAATTCATCTTTCTCAGCTTGCAGACTAAGTTGACTTAGTTCTATTTAAATCGTGAAAATGGAATCTACAGAGGTTCTGGTTTTCATCACTTTCTTGCAGTCACAGGTCCGGAGTTTCAGCCTCCTCTTAACTACTCCGTTAAAACAGTTTGCAAGGATTCCTTCTGAACATGAGGATCCTGAGAGACTCAGTGCCACAAATGGGATCCTATATGCTGCTCCCTGATTTGCCTCAGCTATAGGGAGCAAGGCTGAAGGAAGGCAGTATAGCTGGGTTACTATGAGCCATGCTGCCTGGAGCTCAGAGCTGAATTTAAACTTCAGTGTTTCCCATTTACACCATCAGAGAGGCTGGTCTCAAGGAACAGGGACCCCACAGCCTTGAATCAGATACATCATGGAACCATACAGAGGTACCTATATTCCTCATTCTACTCCTTCACGAACTGTTAATAGAGAATTAGATCAGCAGAAATCAATCTGGCAAAGTGTTCAGGATTGCTATATCTTAACAAAAGGATGGTTTACTACAATACTTGCTCAGCCATTTTTTGGAGAGTAAATGTAACTGAGATATTCTTCAGAAGTTTTTTTTTTTTTTTTCCACTTAATTCCTTCTTAATTCCGTCTGTCCTTTCCTCCTTTGAGGTTTGTTGCTTGCAGTTGTTCAGAGTTCTCACTTGCACTGGGGTTCCACTGCATGTTATTCAGCCACTCGACAACTTCCATCCCCTGAACCTGCATCAGGAACCCAAAATCCACTGAGTTGTTTCATCAGTGCATCCTAAGAGCAAAGAGGTCTTTGCTGATGGATCCTACTGCGGAATGTGATCTTTATCCATATTTAAAGTGATTTATTTTTGCCTTCTGGAGATTTCCAAGAACAAAGAGGGAAAATAATTTATTACTCTGAATATCTGCCCCATTCTGATTAATCATGCCCATGACGCACATAAAGTCTTCTTGGGAACACCATTTGTTGCCATCATCAAGTCTCAGCTGCTGTCTTTTCTAGAGCATTTTGAGCCACACATATACATATACAGTTCAGCTTTCCTGTTGCTACAATGTGTTAGCAATTATGTACAATAAAGGAGTAGACAATTGTTCCATATCCAGGGAATAAAATCTCCAAGGATATAAAACAAATTAGAAACCAACCATTCTTCCCCATATTCAGAGAGTTAAAAATAGACCATGCAATTAATTCCCAAAATACACCATGTATTTTAAGTCACAGCTAAACAGTCACTCCAATTTGGCACACACTTCTACCGCTCTCCAAGTCCTGTCCTCTCCTTACCCTTGACTATTCACTTCTCCCTTCTCCCTTGTGCTAGCACAAGAGTTCAGGCAACCCTGCAATAAGGTAGGCCAGGGAGCTGCCTCTACTAAAAACCAAACTTTTTTTTGCTTAGGTTCGCTTTCAGCTGGGTCAGCCCCCTTCATGTTATTCACTGAAGAATATTCACCAGTGCCAAAGAAGAGAGGGTGAGATGAGGTGAGGATTGCATAAGCTGGTGTGACTGCCAAAGAAACACTCATGCAACCACAGCCCAGCCTTATTCCTGGGGGCAGAAATGCAAGAGGAAGCCTGCTTTCTCCACTGGCTTGTTCTCTGTCGATCCCCTCTGGCAATGGCAGCCTCACAAGACCTCAGGGTCTAGAGCAGCTTCTCTGTGCAACAGGATTGCTAAGAGGGTGCTCAGAAAATCCCAGCAATGGAGTGGTAACAATCAGTGTTCAAAACAGGGCAACACAAATATAGTCAAAGGCCTCTGCTCTGATCTGATACAAGGCAAATGACATTTGTAGGACCATATCAAGACATTACTTGCTTTACATTAATTTTACTAAAAAAGCTAAAAAAATCCAATAGACATTTTAAAAATCTGTTCTTTCTACAGTGATCTTATGAGAGATGATGACCATACAACTATATGCTTTTGTTTAATTCAGAGGCAGATTGATGATCATGCTTATGGCTAGTGAGATGTTCAGCTGACCCTCCTCCCCCCCCCCAAAAAAAAAAATAACAAGTAACCCCTAAAAACATTTAGATCATGCTTATGGCTAGTGAGATGTTCAGCTGACCCTCCTCCCCCCCCCAAAAAAAAAACTGAACATGTAACCATGATAACTTTGCAACATGTAACCATGATAACTTTGCAACTTGCACAATGTACCCACTACAGTTACGAGCGATTACGAACCTTTTTGCATTTGTACTTGCTTGAAATGGCTGTGGTTCCACATGCTCTCTAGTCCCCCAAAAGCATCCTTCTATGTCCAGCCTGCCTGTGCACCATATGGAGTGCAGTTAAGCAAGCAACCCTGGCTCTACACAGGCTGACGCTTTCCTCACACTGGGAAAATTTTCAGCTCTCCATTTATGGCAGATTTAAGAGCCTTCTGTGTCAGATTGGCAACTCCAAAAGCCTCAGGCAGGGAAATGATTTAGCCCTACCAATATTATTATTTGAACTTCTCTTTCCACTGGCTGAAGAACAAATTCAGTGTAAAAGAAAAGCACATAGTTACAAATGAAGAGAAATACAGGAAGAGCCGGATTTTTAGAAGTACTCCGCATTTGTCTAATCCTGCTCTTGTTTGAGCAGGTTGAGCTTACTAACTGAGCACTTTTCAAAGTCTAGCATGGTTCATTGAGGTTCTGGAGTAAGGGCTTTTTATAGGAAGATGGCACATACATTTGAATGCTATATACTAAAGAACACAATCACTGTTTGTATTAAGTTTGGCACGCATGCTTTAAAGGGGTATGAAACTCAGCTCTTTTGCTCTGCACAGGTTCCCCTAACTGTTCACTTGGGTTTGATCCATCTGGATTTTCACCACAGAATTTTGCTGTAAGTGTCCAATTTGAATAAAGGAAAACTCTGCCAAAACCACATCACACCCAAACCACAGGAAACCATGAATTTGGCACTGTTTTGATATGGAAGCTGTAAACAGCGTGCAGGTTCACTCAGAACTGCACCACTCTCCTTTGAGTTATGAAACACAGCAAAACTTCCAACAAACCAGGTCAAAATTCTGAATATACATATTTTTTCCCCTAGTTTTTCTTTTTTCCTTTAGTTATAAACACACTGTGGAAGAATAAAAAGAGAAGTTGAGTTTTCTCCTTTCCAAGTTTCAGTCAGAATAGGATTTAGCTAATTCTTATAGCTCTAACATACACATATTCTATTAAAGACAGGGTGGTTTCCCATGGACAGTCTTGAGCTTGGATAACTGTAAAAGCCACAGTTATAACATGAAGATATAAATACCTTTTAGTTTTATATTTCAAATGAAACATAAAGCAATTGCAAATAGCTTGCACCATCACTCAGGAGTAAACCTCCTGTTTAAAAGCCACACTAGGTTTTCAGCTGCCAAACACCTGATTTTTTCCCAGGATTCCATTAACAAACTGCAAGGAACTCTTATAGAAATGGAAAAGCCTAAAATATGATTTTAGCTTTCAAAACAAACACTGTCATAAAGAAACACGTATTTGTAAGAATTCGCAAATTCACTGAGGATGAAAAGAAAACATTCTATTTTTCTAGACCAACCCTAAAAATAATCCAGATTGCAAACCTAGCCAAGACAGAAGTCTGAAGGTAGAGCTATGCTAGGGCGGTTTACACACCAAGTGAAGCAGCCGTAGTAGTAGCTGACGCAATAGTTATGCAAACTACATTATTGCACCGCCTGAGAAAAAAAGGCAGTCTAATCTTGCTGAACTTTATTTTTACCAGATTTTTAAAACAGGCATTTTGCATGCTAGATGAACTCACGAGGGGTCCATAATACAAAGAACCACACATCAGATATCTGACCTGTCATAGAGTTTTCAGATGTGCACAGTTGCTCCCGCAGCTTCTCCACATCATCTGGATGAACCTGCTCATAGAGAGTGCTGCCAAACCATTCAGACTGTGGCTGGTTCAGCACAGGAGTCACAGAATCTGACACATAGATTACTCTTCCGGTCTCAGCTGCAACTACAAACAGGAACCCATCTGCAGCCTCCAGGATAAGATGCTTCAGTTCCTTCCAAAGAAAGGATTTGATTAGAATGCCAGCAAGAAAAGGGAATTAAATAACACATCTTCCACCCCCATAGAGTAGCATTTTCTTGTGATTTTAGTAGCTGATCACAACGTAGGCAGAAATTTTCCACGTAGTACTGACGCAACTATACATCCAGTCTTGCAGCAAGACATAAACTGCTGATCCCGATAACAAACATCACTTTGTTTTCCTTTATTATCTTTCATCTGGTGATCTCAATGCACTTTAGGAAAATTAAGTAATTAAAATTCATGGCATATTGTGTGATGGGTATCTAATATTTAAAAAAAAACGTAATCTAAGAGTACAAACAAAGGAAATGAAGACCTATAAATCATATGGCAAACCCATCCCTTAATTAGACGTTCTGGATAATTTAATTGGAAAGAAACCAACTGGCCTTTCCCTTCTCCCTCTTTCCCCCCTGGACTACCTCGGTTGGTAGATTAAACAGTCTCTGGGCAAAAGACAGAAACTGTAATGGGAATGAGGACAGGAATCCCCAGTCTCCTCTCCCACTAGAGGACCCAAGCCACTAAACACGAAAGCTGTATCATTTCTTGCTTTCCTTTTCCAACCTGCGACTATGAAGCTTCACAGATACCGTTTGGAATGCCCCTGTCTTTAGCATTTCTTTACTGGCTACTCTCTACACTGAGTATGCTGCTGTTACATGGTCCCCCACCCACTGTCCCAGGCACTTCTGTTCTGAGATACTCATCCACCCTCCTGAGACACAGCACCCAGAGACCTGATTCCACCTTGGGACTGGAAGGGGGACAGCAGGCGTTTAAAAGCAAGGTGCTTCTGTGCTCACTTTCAGACGCTGGACCTAGACGCCCAATACCTTGAACTGCATTTGCAAAAAGCTGCTTGCATGTATCACAAAAATGCTACCTATGGTTAACACAGCTTCAAAATCTGAGCGCTCTCTCATATCAAAGGAAGACAACTTTCACTTTAGCTCACAAAAACAAGCTTGCACAGCCTTAGCTTAGCGGCCCCACTGACTATCAGTACTTGTCACAGTACACCAGCAAGTAACTATACCTGAAACTTAGACAAGGAGTTTTGGACGATCCAAGCCCTGCTGCAGGTTAGAGAGCACAACATGCTGGTGTGAAAGCGGCAGATACTAGCTGATAAGATGAGGATCATAATCTAGTAAATATTACTAAAGCCCAAAAGAAACGCATAACTCATCTTGAGAAACACTTAATAGATTGTTCGCTTCTAACGACTTCTATTTCTTCATTGGAGAGAAAGCATATAAATTCTGAAACACTTAAAAAACAAACAAACAAACAAACACTCAGTGCATAGCTGGCTGCACTATACAAAGAATAATGAGACCTGTTTTAATTACATCATTAACAAAGGTGAAGATAAAAAAAACCCACTTCTGTACTGCAAGGTTCAAAAAAAAAGATGCAATGAGAAGTGACTAGGGTGCCCTACAGGAAACTAGTTGAATGACACCGCCCCTCCAGAAGCACACTCCAGGAAAGCCAGAATAAGGGGAGATGTGAACAGCGAGGTCAGCAGCAGCTGCTGTTTGCCTTTTAGAAAGAAGCACTGCCTCTAGCCATAACTTACATGTGTAAGTACTTAAATTGTTCCAGCCACAAAAATGCACATTACATCCATAGGACTTCAAAAACAATGAAGGTGGTACGAATTTCCAGTGTGCTCAATTGAACTTGGTCTTGCTTCGAGCACTGGGTGCATTTTTCTCCTTCCACAAAAAAAACGGTGAGAGAGAAGTATCTCCGTCAGTGCAGAGGTGATTCATCTTACCTCAGTTCAGCTGTCTAAAACTTAAGCATTGAAACTCAACAAGTTTTTTATTCTTCCTCTAAACTCGGGAGGGAGATATGGGTCTTCACAGATTCATTTCACCTATTTTAGAGAATCTGTGTTAGGATGGGAAGAACCCTTTTCTGGGGGTGATTATCCCTCTTCATGACAAGGCACAGCAAGTGACTTCTTTTTAGACGGACAGATTTCAGTGATAATAACCCTCTGCTGTGATCAGGACAAACGTGCCCAGTTTGCTGCTTCAGAGAGAGGAATTTGTCACATGATTAAGATCAATTCTAAACAGTCACAAAAAACTGTCTGATATGACTAACTGTCATATCTTGGAGATTTAGTTCACACCAGTTACAACACAAAGTGATAAAAACAGTGAAGGATCAAACAGACTCTACTCCTCTTAACACCTGCTCACATCATTCAGGTCCACAAACCAGAGAAAACAAGCATTTGTGAAAAATCTACCTGTTCTGTAAGAAACGAAGGCTTATAAGCTCCGTCGGTAGATTTGTTTCCAGTGCCCCTCATTGATTTCATGTGTGAAACCGCCATCCGGAGAATTGTCAGCTTGTCAGGTTTACGAGCCAACGCACTGCAAGTGGGTACCATATCAGACAGCTCGGTGATGTACTGCGTCATCTTATTTCTCCTGCGTCTTTCAATTTCACTATGATTCTCCCTAAATATTTAAAGAAACACCAAGCCAACAGAAAAGCAGATGTGATCAGTATAAGAATTTCCATTGGATGTGATAAGTCATAATACTTCACACTTCTTTTGCATTTTTCACCCCAGGAGAGCAAAGTACTTTACAAAGTTAAGCACTATTATCCCTCACTTTGTAGGCCGATAATCCAGCACACAGAAGGAAAAATATGATTTACCCATAGCTGTGAAAAGAACTCATATTTCTAGCCTACTGCTTCTGGCCTTCATCTCTTAATCAGTGAAGTCTCCTTTGCTTTAGGTAAGGCAACGGAAAAAGAGAGATGCGAGGTACCGACACTTGCCAACTCCAGCCCAAGTCTCAGATTTGCAAAAGGTATGATGCATCTCACAGGTTCCAGTCCTTACTCAAGGTTTTGGCCCTGCTTATAAAAAGTCTCTTCTAGAAGAAAGGTGTCTGTTTTTGCTAACAACTGGATCAGGTCAGCAGTAAACGTCAGTTCTGACTCACAATTTAAGAAAAACCACACACACACACAATCACTATACAGATCCCCAGTCCTGTAACGCCGTGTGGCAAGTCCTGCATCCCAGCACCGCATGCCTGCAGGGAGACATTACAGGATCGGACTGCAGGACCGGGACCCTATGTGGTATAATAGTAAATACACAACAAAACCCCAGTAAATAAATAAAACGAATACAAAAGACACTAAGCAAACATTTGGTTCGTCAGAAACAGATCAGATAATTTATGCAAGAGAACAATCTAACACAGTAGGGAAATAACAAGGACAGTGCTTGATGCTGCCCCATGTCAGGCTGAGCTCCAATGTTCTCATCCATTATAAGCAAACATATGACAAAAATTGACAATTACCAAAAATCTTTTATAACGGAAAATCTGAGATTTCAGTTTTCCCTTAGGGTAAATCAGCACTGCTCCATTAATATCAAGGATATCAGCATGTTATACCCACAAATACAACGGAGACAGATGGCCCGAACGGACCCCAGAAAACTGCAGTGCCTCGTATGTATTTTCCACATACTATACCTGTCAGGTGGCAGCTAAATACAAGTACAGGACAGGTACATGATGCTTCGGATGTCAAAGCAGCATCTTCCACTGATTTCAATGAGCCGTGCACGGCATTTTCTTGTGGGATCGCTGGCTGATCCAACAAGATGTGAAAAGGTGATCACATGGAGAGTCCACTAGCCTTGATCAGTACGATACACGACATTAAAAGAAACTACAGCGTTCTTTGGGGCTGAATGATATGAAGTGTCACGAAAGTAGAAGCAAGGCTTGGCACGCTTTTCAGCTACTTTTAACAATGAAGCGTTATCTTAAAACGTAAGAAGGGCTCCAATTTGCAGCATGCTGTTTTCTGAAATAGAGAATGCACTGGCTTGCCTCACTTTAGAATATGTATCCTGTGCCCTGCACATGTAGGTGTTACCTGCAAGACACTGTTTTCAGAAATACCACCCTTTATGGCTACATAAAGTTGTTATTCCATATAGTTGTTACTCCTACTGATGCATTCACCTACTTCATGAGGAAAGCAACAATATTCAGGAAATCCAGCTATGGTTTCCTGCAATGATAGCCAATGGTGTTTCAGTAAATTACATACAGCGCCTTGCCTAAAGTCACTATCTGCTTAGCTATCTGTTACATATTAACAGTGAATGCTTCCATTTCAAATGGCTGATCAACAGCTCTTGTGTGGGTCTGCACAGATATGGCAGAGGACAGTGACTGCAGGACTTGGATGATGTATACAAACACAAGCAGAAGAGCTTGTGTGACAATTCACATGCACTAAGAGCACATGTGCATGCCTATCAACATATGCATGCATATAGATAAGGACAAAGAGAAGAAACACTTTTTACACAACAAAAGCTTGCTCTAAGTTCAGCATTTCACAGAAATGGTGAGAGAGAGAGAGAGAGAGAGAGAGAGAGAGAGAGAGAACACATATACAACACATATTTTACATTTATAAGTACATATTCCATTGTCTGCTACTGAACATCTTGACACGCCTGATCATTAAACACAGTCATTATAAAAAGTAAACAGAGATTGCAAAACTTCCTAAGAAGAAAGAGAAGAATATCCAACAATCGTAAAGGCTAAAAAATAATTCTACCTTCATCAACTGGCGATGAAAAGGTTCAGCCAAACAGAAACCTGAACCTATCCTGAAACTAGCTCAAATTTGAACTCTGTAAAGAAATAGCGGGAACATGCTCCTCTTCCATGTCTGTCACAGGAACCCTGACATTCATAAACACGTACATGGAATGATGTCCTAACTTTGTCCTTTCTACTTGTTTTTTTAATATGAAAATTTCGGAAGAACATTAAATTTTGGGAGACTGAGGGAGCTGATCCAAATTCACGCTGGCCCAGGGTTAGTGGAAAGACCACAACCAATTTATAGCACTTTTGGATCAGCCAACCCTGCTGACTTTTGATCAGTCAGAACAGCGTCATATACAATAAAAATGGGGGCAAACCATATTTGATTTTCCTTTTTCCTACCTGGCCATCCTTTCTGTGTCAGCAGTACTTTGATCATCTTCCCACCTGGAAACAAAATAACCAGCTCTCTAAGCTAAGGCACACATACTGGGATTTTTTGGATTCGACCATCCCCCTCTTTTCTCTCAGCAGAAGATCTCTATAGAACACGCCTACCTTGCAAACTTTTCCTTATCACCAGAGATTTGATCACCATCATACCTGTAAAGAAAAGATGGTAAGTAAATTCACAAGGCTTATGCATCACGTGAAAGTCAACACACAACAGAAAGCAAAGAGATTTGCAACTGCAAACTATTACAAATGAGGACATGTGAATGAAAATACATAGTTTGATGAAAATTCCAAGCCATGCCAATTTAAAACTTCATTTTTGAGTATTTAAAAAGGTTCAAGACATATTTCATTGGATTTATGCAAACACTTTGACATACACTCACTGCTTGGGAAACTTAACACCAGCACCATTACAGAAAACACAACTGAACTTTATCAACAGCAGCTTATGAAATATTCATTGCTGTATTGGATGTGAACTGTATCTTTTCCAGATTGCAGCCACAACCCACTCCACTCAGCAGAGGGCACTGATGGTCTACAGATAATACGGGAGGGCAGAGAGATACACTTAAGTGTAATTCATTATATAAGGACACTTTCAGAAAAAAACTGTAATAGGTACATGTACTGTACCATCTGTTGGAAGTACTGGCAAAAGTCAGCTAGGCAGATGAAACTGCTGGGTAAGCAGGAGAGAAATTAAAACTGGCTTCAATCCCTAAAAGTAGACATACTTTATTAAAAATAAATAGAAGTTAGAAGCCCAAACAGGTACTTGCAGGGTATCACCAGCTACATTCTGGAAGAAATTCGGATGAATGGGACTTTTGACCCATGGGATTAAAGCTTCACAGCTTCTGAAGCACTGCCCCAAAGGCATGCAGCAATGTGACAGCCTACTAAAAAATGACACTCTCCTCTTCCTTTTCCTTTCCTAAAAACGTTCTAATCCTTTGAAATTAGATTTTGCTAAAATATTTACAAAAATATACATTTTTTGAAAAAGACCTTGCTTTTTGAGAATTCAAAATGCTTGTTCCAAAACAGAAAGCACAGGTTATAGGGAATATAAAAATTTGACTGTTTTTCTAGAACTGAAGAATATTACTGCTCAAGAACAGTCAAGTGAAATTTTGTATTAAAATTATGCCTTTCCAAAAAGATGGAATTTGTTACAACAGAGATCCTGTGAACTTTCCATGTATTAGCTAATAAGGCGATACAGCATAATTAAGCATCTTTTCTCTTCTAAAAAGCTTATAATTAACTTTTTTTTTCCTCAAATCAACTAAAACTAATTGTATGTAAACCAACTGTGCAAGTTCCTCTATAAGGCTTCATATTTGCCTTCTTCATTGAGTCCCATTCAAACTCTCAAGGCAAAACTTAAGTGAGACTTAAGCTGTATCTCTTTCTGCCTTGCGTTTAACACAAGTACTCTCAAAACATACAAGAGAAAATGCCCCTATTCTTCCACTTGACTCTGCCCTGGGAATAGACAGCGCCCAAAAAATTCTAAACAAAAAGACAGACGCAATGAGTAATGGCCATATGCCATCATATGAGAAGTACATGCATATGTCTACACATGACAATGAGATGCCATGCAGAGATACCTGAGCTGGACTTGCAACTCTCTGAGAAGCCAGGTGTGTAAACTCATGTGGAGCATCACTACTTTTAGTGCTTGTGCTAGCTTGGGGCTTGTTTACCCATCCTTGTCTGGTTGGCTGGGCTGAAGATGTTGCTCCAGCTACTCATTTGTCCCTGGCAATCTTCCAGCTGACCTCTTTGTGTGCATGCTGCTTGAGCTACTTCAGTCAAAGCAAGCTAGGTTGGCTTAAACATTTAAACAGCAGGTCTTTGCCGACCACTGCATTTTGACCGAGGTAAGTTAGGAATCAGTCAAGTGAGCAATTTGGAGAAGGGAAAAAGCTCTAATAGGAGGGCACAACAAGGAACAACGTCTCCTGGTAGGACAACCATAGCCAGAAGAGGATGTCTGAACATGGCCCTGGGCACCTCTGTACAATTTTTCTGTACTCTCTCTAAAAGCAGAACAATTCAGGGGTTTTAGAGTTTTTAAGTACCTGATTAAGCACACCACAGCATGTTCCCCCAGTAAAGATAAATGAACTACTGGCTCTCTCCTCCCCACAATCAAATTTTCAAAGGCTGAGGCCAGGACTGAGAAAGCTAGCTGCCTGTGCACCACTGTGACCACAAACCCTGATGCCTATTTAGGCACAATTAGGTCACCGTATTCATAAATCTTGTTCCCTTAACATATATCTACTAGCAAGCATCAGGATTAGCACTCGGATCACCGGTTTTAAAACTAGAGACTGGAATATTCTTTCTGTAAACGTCATCGACTAAACAGGGGTGCTGTTGGCCTTGTCCAGCAGGTTATGATAAGGTGTTACGACACATCTTCAGTGTACTATCATCTTCCAGACTCACCAGAAAGATCATGTTAAAACCCTACAGTGACAGCTGTGTTCGAATATGGCTGCTGTTTTACATTTGCAATTAGAATTTAAATAATCAACAGTCATCTGCAGGCATCAAAGTATCTATCCTCAGTGCAGCCCATTGATTTCTAATGGAAAAACGCAAACAGCGTGACCAGAACAAAAAAAAGAGTGAACAATGGCAATGATGCTTTGATGTTTTTATCTGTAGCCTGGAATATTATACTAACATTTATTTCAGCCACTTTTACCCTTCAGTTACAACTAATGATATATAACACACTTTAATCTTAAAAAAAAAAAACCAAAAAACAAAAAAACCAAATTCTAGGATCTGTCACGTTTTCTCAATAAACAATTAACATTTACATTAAATTCAACATAAAATTGATTTTCAGTGGCAGAAAGACAACTTCAGCAATGAGAACTAATCACAGTTCATCTACAGCAGTTGAAATACTGTAGGTAAGTCACAAATTTTCTCATTTGATACAGCTGCAGAGTGAAATTATGACTCACACACTTGTCTGCTTTGTAAGCCAATAACTACATTAAGCAGATTTCCACCAGGATGCAGAGAAAGCTGGTAAAAACAGTAACTAGAATTTAGGTAAAACCATTGGCAATTTCTTCAGCCCATATTCATACAGACTTATAAAACAGCAATAGCCTGACAGCTGTCTTTCTCCACTGAACAAAGGTCAGCAATTTGACCAACTCTTTACAAATGCTCACCTTGAAAATTTGCTGGGACCCTCTCCATCTTCATCATCAAAGTCCATTCTGTAAGAGTAAGATTTCCAAATCACTAATCATGAAGGTGGCAAAGATGACTTGAACATTCAAGTCAGTAGTTCTCAGCCTCGTTCAATCTGTTATTGACCGGAGGTGTTAATGACTCTAGTTTCCAGCCTTGCTCATGTTCTCCAGACCTCCTAAAAATAGCTCATCAGCTGCCAGAAGTCCAAAGAACACAGGTTAAAAAAAATATGCATGTATCAATCTGCACTACTAAAATTAACAACTAAAAGGAAACACTAAATGAACGCAGTTCTTGTGAAATGGTCAGGAATAATACCTATTAGTGCTGACAGAAGTTTAGAGAAATCAGCGGAGAGTCTACGTCAGAGGACTGAAATTAAGGCTGAAGAAAATAAAGTTTAAAGTTGACACAAAATAAATACGAGGCAACTGTTACTGTCCCAGTCTACAGAAAGTACATTAGACGGAGAGTAGAATAAATTCCCGACCTCTCTGCAAAGAGGATTATTTACTTCACCTCTTTTGATTTAACTGTGGTACCTCTTCTAGAGGTATCCTAACCATTTCACACAAATTACTCACCAGTCTGTAGATAGCAATTATTTTACTATATGAACCAAGGCCTAACTGAAATGAGCTACGGGTCTACCACGCACCTAACTTACCTGGCTTGTGTCCTGGAGCTTCTTCTTAAGTCAGTGGAAGAGAAGAGCTCTTCCTTGGGCCAAATCACAGCCCTTCAGTTAAGCTCCTCCAGGGAGCCATAAAAAGCAGGAACCTCTTTCTTCACTAATTATGCATACAAACTAAGACTGACCTCCTAAGTTAGCCACCCCTAGTTAGGAAGTACAACAGTACAGTTAGATAGTATCTACTGCAGCAAGTCCAGTGAACGGCTACTAAGATGATGAAGGGACTGGAACATCTCTCATATGAGGAGAGGCTGAGAGAGCTGAGGTTGTTTAGCTTGGAGAAGAGAAGGCCCAGGGGGAATCTTATCAACATATATAAATATCTGAAAGGAGGGTATAAAGAAGACAAAGCCAGACTCTTTTCAGTGGTGCCCAGAGACAGGACAGGAGGCAATGGGCACAAACTGAAACTCAGGAAGTTCTATCTGAACACATGAAACAACTTTTTTACTGTGAGGGTGACTGAGCGCTCAGACTCGGATACGTTGCCCAGAGATGCTGTGGAGTCTCCATCCTTGGAGATGTTCAAAAGCCGTCTGGACAGGGTCCTGGGCAACGTGCTCCAGGTGACCATGCTTGAGCACGGGGGTTGGACTACATGATCTCCAAAGGTCCCTTCCAAACTCAATTAGCCTGTGATTCTGTGACTCTCCCCTTCCTGCTTTTTTTTTTGTTATTTAAAATTAGTATCATTTCCAAAGCGTTTAATACATTTTTATGTCTCTAAAAAGAGGTGGACAAATATTTATCCCAATCATAAGGAGGTGCCTCTGGTATTAAGGAAGACTAAGAACCAATCAAATATATAATTACCACATACAACCGTTGTATTAGTGTAAACTTATTACTTTTAGTAAGAAGATACATTAATGTAATATATAGATCTTGAATAGTCAATTCATGTAGTTCGCAAATGACTGTTTTCTTTTTCAGACATTTTTGTGGGGTTGCTTTAACCTTCTAAGCTTTCTAACATTTCAGCACAGTAAAACTTTATTCAATTACAGATTCCACGTTGGTAACACTCTTTATGTTAACAAACTGATATAAGTCATAGTACCGGCAAAAAAAATCCCTGCAAAATGACAATACTATATATCTCTTAATATTAAAAAAAAATACCAGTTAAAAATTAAGATTTATACGTTAAGAGGGTAGGAGCAGCAGCATAAAAGCGCTCCTCAAAATTAAGTGAAGAATAGAACACACATTGTATGAGTGCCAGTTAGACAACACTACCTCGCTTGCTAATTCTGATATCAAAGTCAGAATGCTCTCTAAAAGATGTTTCCAGCTCACAGACAACTATGTACAATCAGTTCAGCAAATAAGCACAGGAATCTGAAACCGTATAAGACACAATAATGTTTTCCAGATGGTAACAGTGATTATTCATTTCTACAGGAAGCAAGGAGAAAACCATTTTCCCAAAAGGGTTTTAAGAAAAGATGCGTATTTAATTCGGTTGAGGTTTGATGCAATCATAATTTTCACTATAAATTACATTTTGCTCACCTAATTATCACCAAACCCAGTTTTAAAAACACTTCACTTGCCAGAGACCTCTCAGCTGTATTGTGTAGAGCACCACCGACCTCCAGCGGCCAGCAAGATATCACTTGTGCAGAAGTGCTTACAGCTAACCCAGGATCCAGCCAATGTGCTATCACCCCAAAATGTGGCCTTCATTGCTACCATCTCCAGACACCCTGAATTTCCTCAGACCTGCTGCATACAAAATACTCCTATCGATTTAACACTTACGCATTTTCATCTAGCTGAAGCTCTCATGTTATCCACCTGCTTCTTCTCCACATAATAAAGTGCCTATAATGTGACATCCCAAAACAGATGTCTGTGTTACTTGAATTCTAATGTTTCTACCCGTACCCAAAACATGAAAATCAATGTCTTAGGAGAATTGTTTCTTTACAAGCAGAGCACATACTCAGGCAGGCACTGGGCTGTGTCCACCCCTTGCAAAAATCATCTGTTAGGCATATCCTTTCCCGGTCTCACTGGCAAACGAAATGCAATTGAGATAAGACCTGGATTTCAAACTCAGGGAATAGGGGACAGCAAAAAAATACACATGCCTACTCTGAGGAAAAGTCTTTTCCTTGGAGGGTATTTAGTAAGACATTGCTTTAATTTGAGATGGATTCATTTTGTAATTCCTTCTCTTCCGCTCCAGTGCACTAGGATCCCCTGCCTTGGTAGATTTCTTAGCTTCCAGTCAAACACTCCAGCTGGGGGCTGAGAGAAAGATTTTCCCAGATAAATCAAACATTGGCTCTACTTTGTTTGGGCTAGTTTATTATTACTGGAATACACAGAACTACAAATAATACAGAACCTGATTACAGTTGAGGGGCTGATCCTGCTGCCCATGCTGTATACATAGTTCCAAAGGAGTAAATGGCGCTAAATGCACCTACTTATCCAGAGAGCTGAATATCAGCTTATCTTATAATATTTCCATAGGTTGATATCCATAGGTAATACCTACTATACTTATACTTGGCTCATCAATGCAGAATCTAAGTGCCTAGGGTGCAATACGAGACTGTGACAGACTAAATCTCTAAATAATTTTTTTAATCTTTGCTTTGTTAAACTACCTATAAACCACTTAGAAATCTTGATTTTATTCCAAATAAAAAAGATGAAAAAAATTCAAATTAAAAATTGAACATGAAGTTCATAAAAATGTTAATACTTGTAAAAATGCAACAGCAAATGCATTTTTGCCTGTCTATTAATAAGCAAGTTTCCTATTTTCATACTTCACTGTGCAAAAAGAGAGAGAGGAAAGAAAAAAAAAAACCTGTCAGAATCTGAAAAAAAACCCCTCAGGTTTAAAGCAAGCGATTCTAACTTCCTGCCTGAATCATTTCAATTGCATTACAGTAAGGCAAAGTGAAAGATAAGAAATCAGTTGTAACCTTAGCAGAACACAGCAGAGCACGTAAAAAATAATATTCCAACAAACTCCTCTTACCCTGACAGATAAAATCTTCCATTCAGATGGAATATATTGCACATTAACAAAACAGTACAAGCCGCCTCCAAGAAGACAAATGATACCATTTCAGAAGTTTCAAAAACAGTACCTTTTATCTTCATTTAAAATTCTCATTAAGAGGCTTTAAAAAAAGAGCTGCACTACACTCTTGTTTTGAAGGGACAGCATAAATCTTGTTTTCTTCTTTCATACCGTTTGTGTCAATTGTGAAAAGGTCTGATGTATGAGGTATTTGTAAAAAGAAAAAAAAATCTTCCTCAAAAGGTGTGTGGTTTTCATAGGCAACTTGGCAACAATATTTTTTAATTTTTCATTTTTAATTAGAAACGTTTTCATACGAGAAGAATAAAACAAGGTTGTCCTGCACAGATTTAAAAAACTGAGATGAGAATTTGAACATTGCAACAAAAATGATTACGTAAAATTGCAGAGAAATGTCAAAAGACGGCTTGCCATGATTAAACAGAGCAGGAAGGGGACAGGCAGGAACGCTCAGGAGCAGATGCAGCTGCGATGTAGATGGGGAGCCGCATTATCACCCTTTGTTCTACACAATACAAGGGGCTACATCCAGGAAGGGAGAATAACGGACTACAGCTTCTTTTTCCCTGTATCCCCTCAGATCTTACAATTATGCATTGCAGAAAAGACAAGATCATCTGCTGAACTAAATCAAAACCTATACATCTGTAAAACAAACAAACAAACAAGAAACCTGAGGACAGATAACCAAGGAATGGGGAAAAAAAGGACTCATATCTTGTAGTACACAGAGCTTAAAGAATAACTTCTAAAATAGTGAAAATCACCTTAAACATAAAGAATTGACTTTACATCTATCTGAGGTAGTCAATATAACCTCAGCAATGTGTTATCTTAAGCACTACCAGGCTATCATTTTTTTCTGTAAAACACTTGGTATAATTTATAGAGAGGAAAAATATTTTTCTGAGCTGTTGATGAAGCTAAATGGCTACACCACAGAAACACCTTCTGGGTAGCCAATGAGTTTAAACTGATCTACATTCAAGTCCATACAGTAATTATTCTGCCAGCTTGCCTCAGCAATTATGAGAAAAGAAACAATTTTCAAAGATAACTGAAGCTGGAAAAGACGACTGTGCTCGCTGGCTATATTCCTTTATGCTTGATACAAAGCATTCATTTCTAAAATGCCCAAGGATTTAGGTGTACAAAGATATATCACCAGGATAGTAATGAAAGGACCAAGTGTTAGCTGCAACTTTGTTCAAAGAGAAACTACAATGAATCAGACACAGCAGGCATTCTTTCCCTCAAGGTCTGGATACATACGCACGGAATGAAATAAACGTACTCTCTTCTCAAGCTTGAAGGACTATGGTGCACACATAAAATACTACCTTCTGGATAAAACTGCAAATCTATACTATTCACAGAATTTGCCTATTAAATGCATTTCAAATGACTTGAGTTTATGTTCCTCCCATCCTCCTCCACTCCATTTCCTTGCAAATAGAAGATGATACTTGAAATGCAACGTTTAAAACTTAGCTTTCAATTAATATCAAGTCTGTACTTAATATAATCATAAGATCTCAGTCAGCAGCATCAACCCTTGTATTCACAGTTGACCTGGTTTAGGATTAAAAACGAAAACAAAAAACAAACAAAAAACTATCCTGTAACTCAGAAGTATAAACAGTTGTATTTGTTATGTAGCAACGAAGAGATGTTAATGCTTTCTTTTCTCTTTTGAGTGCAAGTCTGGATAGGCCTTCTAATTAAACAGCTTCAAAATAAAAATGTAATCACTGTCAAATAGAGATTTCAGGAGTCTTTATGCCACATCAATTTAATTCCACATCCGAGGCGAGGCGCACCTTTTCCTTTCTGAATTCATTCCAAGAACGAGAGTCAAGCATCTTGGCCACTGTTACTTGACCAGACACCTAAAACTGGCAATATACCTTGGCAAACAACTCCAAGAGTAATTCTCACAAGGAATAATGTCTCTCATTAGATGTCCATCAACGAAGATTTTATTCACATTATCGATCCTGTCAAGTCTTACTACTGTTACATTAACGGCTAAACGTAACACTAATCAGTCTCTTTTGCAGGCGCTCTCCTAACAGAGATATCTCTGAGAAAGGATCACCTAAAGACCATTATATTTTTGACCAACCTTTTATAAAAGCAGGTGTTCTGGAAATACTAGTAAGTAGTTTTCTGCCTCTCTGCAGCTCTTGATGTACTTTTCTTCCAATACAGACAATTATTATGAGTTGCCATTCAACTATGTGTATGTGGAAAAACTAACCCTATACCATATGAACCTCTATATTTGGACAGAATAAAAATTATTTTTTCCCTTAGCAGAACTTTCAGCTAGTTTATGAGCTGAGCCTGATACCGGCCTTCTCTCCTAGAATCTGAGCGACTGCATTGCATATCCAGTGAGGCCTAGAAGACGACAGACCACTATCTCTGAAAAGCGACTGCTTATGCTGTTTCTGTACCTGGGACTAGAAAGAAAACATTTTTAACAGAAAGCATCTATTTGAGAGATTCCAAGTCCCAATTTTCAGATGAAGTTGGATAAGTTTGCATGTGCAAGTTGGAACACGTCTTGCTACCCTTATTCATGTGATAAATCCTTCTGAGATTAAAAAGATGTAGGTAACACACAATCATCACATGAACAACAGCTACAGGATCCAAACTCCATCTCTGGATGCTTTGCCAAATCTGAAAATCTTTTGAAGCGTGCAAAATAACAAATATAATACACTTTTCAGCAAGTTTAATCTCGCAGGAAGAGAATATATTGGAGAAGAACAAAACATCAGTGACTAATGCCGCAATGCAGTTTGCATACATAAACGTTACATAAATATAAATCTATATATTTTCATTTTTCAATACAAATTGTTTCCAGTTTCAGCCCTGGAAAAAAGGAAATGGCTTACCCAGAACGGCGCTTTCCTCCTCTGGAAGGCATGGATCCTGCCATTCTTACTTGTCCACTTGCCATTGGTGCAACTGGCAAGGCCACGGAGCCAGGAATATCTGATGCCATTTCTGTAACACAGGGAAGGGGGGATGAGAGGGGGAAAAAAAAGTCTTTTAATCTCCAACAGGAGACGCCTGTGATGACAAAATCAGAGAAAGGCCTTTTGTAAAATAAGCAGTGCAGAGAAAACTTTCCTTTCTATTTCTAAGCTGAAGTAAAGCCTCCTATAAAAATCTAGACAAACGGTAGCAAATTCACAGCTCTCCTATAAGCCCAGTTTTGTCAATAGCTATTATGAGTGCCTTGGGAGAGAATGAGAATCACAGTGTATAGATGGATAGATACCTCTGTATTTCAATTTACCTGTCAAGTTGTTACAATTTTACTTCTCACAAGGGCTACCAGAAAAAGGCTAAAAATCTTTTACAATAGTTAAAATTGCCCAATAGAGATATTCAAAGTTGAATTACTCAGACAAATTAAGCTACGGTTCATGTACAGGGATACTAAGAAAAATAAAACTTCAGAATTTTCTCAGTTGGCCCGTGAGGTCAACAGTTTAGAGCAGGGATAAATTATCAGGTGATGCTAGTTTTTATTATTTAGATTTTTGTGCTATTCAGAAAACTGAACTGAACCTAAAAGTCCCAAGTCTTCCTATATGTCTGCATAGCACCATGTAGAATGGAACTGAGTCTGAAGTCTAGGCTGATATGCCATACTTCTGCCAGTGCTCTGCATATAATCACAGATTAATTGGATTCCCAAACCTCAAACCTTTGATCTCAGGAACAGCACCTTACTCAACAATTTTCAGACTACGAATAGCAAGGACTTTTACAATCTATTAACAACATTTCATTGTGCTTTAAAAGAAAAATGGAGTTTAATGCATTTATATCATTTTTTCCTTTCCCATGGATTAAGTATATTTTTGTCTCTCTGCAACTCTCATAAAGAACGTAAGCAATTAAAACTTTTTTAATGCAGATAAGCTTTAGTCATTCTGGACGTAGAACCTGCAGTCACAACATTTAATTATCATGAAAGAAAATACATCTTCTTTCCAAGTTTTTTTAAACCTAGTAGAGTATTTGGAGCTACCGATAAATATATTTACCAAGAGAAAGCAAATCTGTTAAAAAATCTTGTTATTCTTCCCCAACAGATCAGTACAAAACAACTTCAATTACGGAAACTGGAATCCATGTTCTTTCATTATGTTAGGAGAGCGCTATGCCATACTTTACATAAATCCATTATGCAATATTAACGCATTTTTAATAATATCATTTTATCTGTTCATTGATTTCATGAATTTCTTCTAGTACATTTACTTTTATGAACTCCTTTTCAACTAAAAGCAACAGAGCAAAGTACTCATCCAATGTTTTTCAATAAAGGTTCAAGGACAAACAACGAGACCTCTGCCTACAATACCATAGCATGGAGCTTCTTGCTGCATCTAAAGCTTCTGCTATGTGGAAATACTGTATTAACATACATTAGCATATTTACAAACAAATAAAAGCATGCACATCCAAACAACTGGTAAATCACTATTTCCAAAATTAGTACTCTTAGGATTCTAGTGCCAATTATTCACTTGGAACAGTCAAACTCTCATTTCATGGATATAACTGAAGGTCATTTTGAAATGCTCTGCTGACTCATTTGTTAAAGTAGATAGTAAAAAGCCTAATAAATCTACCTGCAAAGTGTCCCTGCCACTAAGAAATACATTTCAGTACAGATCATCAAGGAGATCAGTCTTTAAGAAATAATTGTAAAACAATTTCAAACAAATTCTAAGCCATATTTTAAGAGAATAAAAGTAATACTGTATTTTTGATGAGGAACTCTTGTAGCCTAGCACGTCCTCAGGCATAAGACAAAATCCATGAAAAAACAAGCCAAGGGGTGGAAGAATCTCCTCTAAAGCTAGCAGTCCACAAGGCAAAGCTAAGTATTCAACATAACTTTAGAGTGCATTGAAAGGAAAATGAAAGGCTATCCTCGCGCAGCCAAGCATTCCATGCTTAGAGTATCTAAAATAGGTTGAGCAAACCACTTTCGACAGGTCCCTTGCTCTTGCCACTGACTACGCAGGGAACTTGGACAGACAGTTTTAATCAGATGTCTACTTTAAGCAGTTATGACTAAACAGAATGAGTTTTTCCTGATGTTGTGTTCAACATTTAATATAGGAAAACACGAAAGGCAAGGGTAGTTAGCGACTTTCAAGTGGTATGCAGAAACAGGAACTGCGTATTTTTTAAATGAAAAAACATAAAGGTCATAGATAAGGAAATGACCAAACCACAGGTTCAGTCATGTCAGTGTCCAAAAAGAATTCTGAAACAAATGAAACATCTAGCTATGAGGAAAAACCCTGAAGAGTTACTGTGTACGTATCTAGAATCTATAGACTGGCACATCAAAAACAGCACTGTGAAAAAGGCAACTTCTACACAAAACAGCCTTCAAATATGTCCTCCTAATCCTGGGAGAACAAAACTAAGCTCTTTGAGCTGACTGCTTTAACAAGGTGTCTTCTGAAATTTCCGTTTCTAAGATACGAGCACAAGAAGAAAAACCAGGGGTTCCATACACATTGTTTTATGTGAAATCTGAACTCAGAGGGAGGAAAGTTTCGGGCCTTTAAAATCAGAAGACTTCCCATTCTGGCCTGTCACACATTCAGGGTGTTCCAGTACACACGTCACTGCATAAACCTCACAATTTACCTTTCCACTTCTGAGTTTGCCGTGCCCAAGGGACACTAATCTTTGTGTGACCTATTACGGCCTTCATAAAACCCAAGCATGTAGGATATACACTGCTAACAAAAGCAGTTAGTTTTCCAATCTTTCTTTCCTGCCATAAAATAATTATTCTGAGCTCTGCAGATGGAGATACCAGGAGGGCTGGGTCCTTTTCAAGCTGCATAACAAATACGGCGAGGAAAGCAACAACAAGGGCAGCAACCAGCTCCCAGAGACCCCTCAGGTGGGAGCATTCAGGAGCTGAGCAGCAGCATCAGTGACAGCAGCCAAAGCAGCAGAGAGAAACATCCTCTTTGATACCCCACACCCGTCACAGTGTGCCAACAGTGACACCAGAGCACTAAAGAGAGACTTCAGGGACAGAGCCAACAAAGCGACCCCATCCCTCAATTGAAGTTTCCTGGGCGCCGAAGCCGTATCACTGAAGTTAGACGGACTCAGAGAAACATAAGCACTAGACCGTGGCTATAAAACTCTACTCACAAACTAAGCAGCAACCTGTTTTCCCATATAGCTTACAAGAACGTTTGGGGAGAAGATGGAACAGATTTGAGCTGCTTCCCAAATTATTTCCATTTCTAGTCATCATCAAGCATTTAAAAGAATCAGATCTTTGATGTTATTTTTACCCATTCCAAAAGGGGTGTTACAGAGAGAGCAGGATGACTAGAAGGTGGGTTAGTCACAAAGTAGAAGCATGTTCTATCCAAAAATAAGGGCCAATTTGGGAAGGGAGAGCCAAACAGAAAACGTGTGGGACAGTCAGCTGCTTCTCCGAGTACTGAAGATCCAGTGAAGAAGTAAACTATCCACGTAGACTGGAATCTCAGATAGAAATGTTGCGGCAGGTAGGTACTCCGAGGAGCCGAGTACCATAAAAAAGACAGTGTGCACATCAGACAAACAGACCTGAAGGATAAAAAAAAGTACCAGAAGAATAACCTGCAATTGTCTGAAATTACATCAGCACAAAGTTAGGGCAGCCCCTTGCAGGTAACTGAAGCTATTCTGTTGCAGCATGAACTAAAATGATAGTCCAGCACAGCAGAAGCAGGTGTCAAGTTGGTTGCATAAAAAGGACACAGGCTTGCTTGGTCAACAAAGAATCATAAAGATTACGTTTCCAGGCCCATCTACACCCACATCGAGAAAGATGTTAACCCTGATACTCACAGAAGTGTTTCAGCAGCAATGTGTATTAGGAAAGGAGCTGTCTTCTTTCTCAGGTTGGAAGGACTGCTCTTTTGTCAACAGAAATAAGACAAATGTTGCTTTCTTAACCCAAAACTGAAACATAAGAATAAGGGAGTAATGACGAGAAACTAAAATTAGGTCAGGCTGAATGTTCATGAAAGTCATCTAGAACCATGATGGCAGCACTCTGAAAACACCTATTTAAAAGAAGTTCCTTAGTGTCAAATGGAAATTGCTTTCATATTAAAAAAATACACATAGTATTTCACTTCAAAGTTAGAAAGCTACCTAAATATCTACAAAAGAATACAGAAATGCTATTGCATAAAATTTAGCAAAAAGTTGACATTTTTTAGTGAGTACTCTTCCAGTTACAAATTACATGACCTAACAGATCTTGTCTTATGACCATCATGCCAGCCAGAAGCCTGGTTCTGCCACTAATACTCATGTTCATCTTGAGGATCCCGGAGGAGTGGTACTAATCCAGGAAGAATGTCAGTGCTCAATGTAAAAGCAGCAAAATTAGTTCCTACGTTTCTGTCCAGAATGAAATTGACTGCTGAACACTTCACGCTTTGATACAACACTGTTCTCCAGTGCTACATGTAGGTCACGCCCAAATATTTTGAGGTCTTTTCAAAATAAAAGACAATTTGCAAATGTACATTAAAAATACAGGGATAACCTGAAATTGCCAATAATACCCATGTTTATTCCAAACTTGTTATAAAACTCTATACATAACTTAGCTATAGGGATTACAAAACACTTCCCCAAACAAAACACGACAAACATGTTAAATGTTGCACGAGGATATCGTTTTGAAAGTGCATATGCACGGCAACCACTGTATTTAAATTCCTATTACTACTGGAGGTGTTCCTTTCAGCTGTAAAACTAATGGTCTGAACCACAATCACAACAAGAATTACTGTATGGTACAGCATGCAAGGATAAATCTGGATTTCTCTTTTTAGTTGGATGATTACTAAACTATGGCCCTAAAGCCCAAACTTCAAATCAAGCCCCACCCCAAACCCACTGATTGAAATCCAGCTCTAACTCCTCTCTAGTACAAATATATA